TTAGGATCTCTAGTATACTTAACTAAAAATTTCGAATTTCAACAGAAGCAGATGATATTATTATGATAGCATATCTTAAGCATCGACGAATGATGAGATAAAATCCAGGAAAATAAAAATATTCCTTTCAAACACAAAAAAACAGACAATATTCGCCAATAAATACTTCCAAAAGAATCCATTATTAACCGGGAAATCCAAGGATAGGACTGAGACAGAATAGGAAAAAAATTTTTATCTGATGGTAAACCAATGGCGTAGACTATGGATAAAAATTAAAATCTGACATAGCAAATAGTGATGCAACTCAAAAGGGATGTTAGGGTAAAAAAAACACTATAATGTACCATATAATATACTCAATATATTATATTATGTAATGTGGGCGTGTATATTATATACTATATTATTATATATTATTAAATTACACAATATATTACGCTATTACAGATACTATAGACAAGTTACCTGTACTAACTCGGCTTTGAGTCGGTTTAGAGCCCTACCCTTGATCATGACCACATGAGAAGTATCCTCTGGTGGAGGCAAGATTGCAGCTCCCAATGAATTCGTAATCGACGAGACGGAAGATGGACTACTGCTCCTAGCAGTTGGAACTGCATCATTGTTGCTGACATGTGTAAGCCCGGTCATTCGGACTCCTGTTCCTGAAACATGATTCCGGAAAAGTGAAGCACTAGTGGCAACTGTTGCTGCAACTGAAGAGGTAGTTGCTATTGGTGTAGCTGCGCATGTCTGGCCAGAGCCGATTTGATACTGTTGGACAGAATTAGGAGAGCACTGATGCGATTGAGAATGAGGTTGCTGTTGAGTGGGATTGTTATGATAATGGTGCTGGCGCTGGTGAGTGTGTCCAGGGCCAGACAGTTGGCTAGCAAGTAGATGACGGTTAATAACTGTGGCTGGAGGTCTGCTCGGTTGCAATGCTTGTGTAGGAGGGGAGACAGGTGGGCTAGATACTGGTGAAAAGGTAAGGGAAGAGTAGTTAAAAGAGCTAGATGAGCTGCTGCAGGCGGGAATAGTGTTAGTAGCAAAAATGTTTGAAAGAGTTGTAATACAACTAGTAGTGGGAGAAGAAGTAGAGGTTGAAGAAACCGGCTTTGAAGAGGATGAAGAGGAGGAAGATGAAGAAGTCGAGGATGGGGAGGAAGCAGCTGTCGAAGAGGTAGTGGTGGTGATAGCCACAACGGCTACCGCAGAAGCAAACATGACCGTAGATGAGGTGGAGGATGAGGAGGATTCGGGAAGATGATCCAGAGAGGCCATTATATGGGGCTCTGTTAGCATGAGTGTCTCATCCCTGGATTTTGGTTCAGGTAGATCACTAGATGGTGAGAGTAATGGGAGATTAGTTATGGCATTGTCACCGCAAGAGTCACATGAGTCGTTGTTTTTGCTTGAGGCGATACTCAATGGATCGAGCGGGGCTTTGCAATTTGTTTTGGCAGCAAGCTGAGCAACACCCTCAGCTATAGCTGCTGCAGAGGTGGCGGATGGTGTACCGCTTAAGATCACGTGTCCAGGACCATTGGTGAAGAAACCCTCAAACCACGAGCGCTGCGTCAGTCTATAAGAATAAGATGTCCAAGAAATTTTTAAAAAGTAACTATTCTCGTAGAAACAAGAGGAGTAATTTGCCCTGCAAGTACGTTCCCTTTAAAAATATGAAGGGAAATTAAATATCAAATTATTTCTTGAATCGCATCGGAAATTATAAAAACAAAGGAAGCAGTATTCGGAATATTTAAAAAGATACTCACTTAATTATAAAATTCAGAAAAGAATAGAGTATAAGACAAGCATCACGAAAAGCATAGTGAATGCCAAAATTAAAAATAATTAAACCATTGTGCCAAAAGAGGTGTCAAAAACAAAATATGTGACCCTTTTTATCTAATAAGATTGGCTATACATAAAAAAGCAAACAAGTGAATAAAAAATAAGGATAATCACTATGCTAAGGACTTCCTTAAAAATCTTATATCACGTCCATCACAAATATAAGATTTTTATTAAGGAAAAGGTAAACTAGAATTTCCAAGCAAGAGCCACTTTCCCAGTATTACTAATTCTAAAATCAGCCAAATAGGAAGTAAACTTACTTCAGGTGAATGGGAGTATATTCGAATAGATTATTGAGTATAGGCATTCATTACGGAGAGAATAATTAGCTTAAGATATCATAGAAGCTCGGAAAGTGAATGAGCTTAATTCATTAAATCAATATGCGTTTCAGCTGACTCAAAAATTTTATAGTCAAGTCATGTGATTCAGAACATTCTTTTAATCACTGGGTGTGATAGGGCGGGTATAAATGATCGTATATAAAATAAAATTTAAATTTGAAAGAAAGAAAAGGAGGAGAAAATTTACGTATGATAGCTAAATAAATATTAGAAGTTTAGTTATGGACATAATTAATTTGTATCAGCAGGATTTTGAGACTAACATAAGTTAATTAAGAGCTGAAACCACCCTGGGTTACATAAGATGATAAACGACTAATATTGAATTTTCTAAATATGAGATGAATAGATATCAGGATATCATCAAATGTCACTCAACCTTGCTTTCAAAGGTAATATCCGCAGAGAAAACTGTAGTTTCAACCTCTTCTAGATCTCACTAGTAAACCCAAAGGGAATCGAATCCAGGTAGTGCAATGTTTATTATTGATATATTTATGCCACACTTTGAATGTCAATGATCACAGGGTAGATGTGACCCAGAAGACAAGCCTTTCCCATGTCCTACTCTCATAGTGTGATTATAGATGAAGCAAACATGTATTTTTAATTGCTCTACTTGTATTTGGTTTTTAGTAGGCATTCTAAACTATTAGTGGACCTTGAATAAGGAACTTGGTCATATTGGCAGGAAGACCTAGAGGAATGCACCTTGACCGGAGTCCATAGTATGCATGATAATCTCCAGTCGGACCATGGACTTGGTACATTTCTAAAATATCAGCAAGCATGTACCTCAGAGCCTAGACGCTCTGCAAATGAGGCGACGTTGTATGTGCTATTGAAGGATTGAGAAATATCACTTGGAGTAAAAAGTACACTTGGGCTTGAACCGAGTGAAATCAGTCAACCAGAAAGATAATAAATGGATCCATGAACCTAAGAGGCTGATCCGGACCAAAGGCCCGATTCGGATCAGTCACTGGAAAGAGGTGAGCAAGGTAAACAGCAGGTATGATGACGCTACGGTAAATTCGCCAAAAGTGCACATCTGTTGTGCAATGAGAAAATAACAGAAGTTGTAATAGGACGAGGGCCAGACAAGAGGTTAGGAAATGGATAGAGTGGCTAGAGCAGAAAGCTGTGTTATAGGACAACCGTTTCGCTAGAAAGATAGTTAAGGGATTGACTTTACGTGTCTCTGACGCGCTGTATTTCGGCGCTGAGAATGGCAAGACTCACTAACGATGCCGGAGAAACGTCTGGGCATCTACCACATTTACTATCCGAATCTGGAAATTATCATACATACGATTGACTCCGGAATAGCTGCGTTCCTCTAGGCCTACCTACCAATATGACCAAGTTGCGAAAACAAGGTCAAACAACCTTTATAAAAACGGAATGCTGTGTCATTACAACTGTTGACTTGACGGTTAAATGTAATTTCAACATAGTTTTTTTTCACAACTTGCTCTTTCAGTGGTCTCTTATTTCATCGTATTTCTTATATATTATCGTATAAACATTTGCGATTTGTCCTCATCAATGTTATTTTATATTCGTTAATCATTTGTTTAAGAAAGAGAGATAAAAGTGCATTTTTAATCTCCTAATAGCAAAAAATCGATTCCTAATACCTGTGGTTTGAAAAGCGTTTAGAGCAAAATAAATGTGAAAAAATTACTACAGACAAGTATACAACATAAGAAAACACAAATCACGCATTCTCAAAAAAAAGCTTTGATCTTGAGTTTGTTTGCATTTTGATCCGCAAAATGCATTCGAAATAAAATCACTAAATGAACGAAGTTTCAACATACTTAAGGGCCTTAATTGTGGAATTTAAGTAAAGATGAGTATAGATATGGACCAATTTGATAAGGAACCAGCTTTATCGTCAGATATAGGGGTCAGCTTTATTGGTAGATATCTTCATATAGCATGTAAAAAGAGCAAATGCCAATCACATAGCGAATTAACTAAATAGGATGTCTATAGAAAATACTTTGAAGATTACTGATGCAAGCACTAGTGGTCATAATGAATTTACCCCTTGGAGTCCTGTCAGTATTTAAGAATAAGAATATGTTAAGTCAATAAGAATTCTTTCACATAATCAGTAAATAACTTTACTATGAAATTAGTCTGAGATAAAAATGGTCAGGACAGAAAGCCTTGCAAGTAAATAAATGAGAAATAGTAGAAAGGATATAGTCTAAGTTATCTTTCAAAGGAAGCATATGTTTGGTTAATAAATATATGATATATTAAATTAAAAAATAGTCGAAATACCAGCGAAAATTCTTTGATTAGTGAATAAATGTAAGCTCCATAATATAACCTAAAGGGCAAGATTAATTCAATATAAAAGAAAGTTGATTAAATTAGCTGTGGTACTCTGTTAGTTAAGAAGCCTGTAAAATGTAAAAACCAGCCCCAAATGCTATAAGTGGCTATAAAGTTACTAAATTGTAGAAATGAAGACCAAGATGGTGTGGCCTTCTGTTTGTTCGTAGTCGCAAGTTATTAAGTTATAATATAAG